CTCAATCTCTTCTGTTGTCAAAGATGAACTCTCCCTTTCCCCCCTCTTATTCTAAACATCCCACAGGGACAGAATGAAGAATGATTCAGGTCAGTTGTCCTTGGAGTGAAGAGATCTTGGGGGAGGCTTCCTCAAAGATCTGTCAGGGATGCTTTAACAGGGAAGGGAAAATGAAAACCTGAAAAATCTCAAGTGGGCTACGGGGGAGGCATGAGGGCACTTGTGGGGAACAGTTCACAGGCTGCGATGGTTTTGAAAAACTATGAACACTCTTCTAAAATAATCAGTGTGTGTGGGTTTTAAGGATTGGAACTTGTAGCTTCCCTGAAAGGTAGCCAGGTGGTACTCAGGCGTCTCTGTCATTTCAGAGCTGTGTAGTCAGTGGCTGAGCTGGCCGTGAGCCTGGGTGGTCTGTCGCCAGGGCCCGGCCCTGGACCACCGCTAGCGAGCCATTCCTCACTGCCTCACTTCAGTGCACCTTCCATAGTTTTGTCTCAGGCTGCCACCAGTTGGGTGGCTTGGCAGCAGAAACTTATTTTCTTACAGTTCTGAAGGCTGGAAGACTAAGATCAAGGTGTCAGCAGGGTTGGTTGCTTCTGAGCCTCTCTCTTTGGTGTAGATGGTCGTCTTCTCCCTGAGTCCTCATGTTGTCTTCCCTGAGTCTCTGTGCCACAATTCCTCTTCTTATAACGAAACCAGTCATACTGGATTAGGACTCATTTCAATGACTCATTTAACCCTAATTACCCCCTTAAAGACTCTGTTTTCAAATATGGTCACATTCTTAAGACTTCCATATGTGAATTTGGGCAGGACACAATTTAGCCCATGTGGAGGCTAAAGCAACTCCATCTTGAATGCTAATTAGCCATGATGACTTCCGATTAAGCTGGGTTCCAGGAATGCCTCTAGATTTCTACTTTATTTATTTTTCCCTGCCCTTAAATCAAAACAAGCTTGACCATAAGTCCTGCCCTTAGGCAGATTCACATAGCATTCCTGCCTTTCTCTGAGGGGCTACTTCAATCATCCTGTCCATTCCTTCCCTGTGGTATATATGTCCTTGGTCTGGGGGTGATGGCGCAGGATCTACCATCCCGTCTCGTCTTGCTGCCACCTGAGACATGGCTTCTCTCATAAGTCCCTATTAAATGTTTCTTTCTGAGAAACTGGGTATGTCATATGTCAGCCTCTTTCTTCAGTCTCTCAGCTGCCTTGGGCTCTGGGAGTAGGTGTGCACAGACCTGCTCATTGTGGAACAGCCCATAACACGGGGATAGAGACCGTGGGACCCATTGGGGCCCATAATGATTGAATTACCCTTGTTCTTCTCTTCTGTATGGGGAATAGTTTCATGTCTGCTGTTTGCCTTCCATGTCTTCTTTTCTAGTTGGTTAATTATCTCATTGTTTTTTCCCCTATAGATTATCTACGTGTGCCCAATTTCATGTCCTGCTTTGTAATTGGATCCAAATTGAAAACACATTATGTTCATTTATATCTAATTTTTCTCTTTCTTCCTCTTGATGCATTGTTAATGCCCATTCTGGGTTGGGGGAAAATTTTTGAGCAGAGAAGCAAGAGGTAAAAGACTATAAAAGAGGTGGACATTTGGAGAATAATTCTGATTTGTATCTTAACTTGTAATTCAGGTGGCCCCTTAGCACTTGAGCTAGGTCCTTTTTGCCTTATGCCACATGTTGAATTATCAGGCCAAAGGGCTTCTCCTATATGTGAAAAACCATCTGGGACTTCTAGAAGCCAAGAGTCATGGAAATACAAGATGCTGGGAGTTAGGCAAGGTCGGTGCCTTGGCTGAGGCCCCAAGGCTGACTTAAGGCTGCACTGAGACCGGCATGGGTGCTTCATTGCCACCTGGTGCAGTGAGTTTCCCTGCTCCTCTTCACAGCCTGAGCCCTGTCCTGCTGCTCCATTGCCTTAAATGAAATGATTTATTTTTTTTTATTTTTGCTCTCCTAAGTCATCATCGTCTAAGAAGGGTCTGAAATTATTTCCTGATAGTTTCGGGATTGTTTGTCTTCTTAGACTCATTATAAGAAATGAGACGTTAGCATGTGAAGTGTGTTGAAGAATTTTGTTTGATAAGCCAATTTGATCAGTTTCCCATCTGTATAGAAGGGACTATGTCTGAGGTTAACACTATCCTGAGAAATCACTACCCCTCTAAGTGGATATAAGATAACATGTTTGTGTGCTCCCTGTCTCCCACCGAATTCATGTTCAAACCCTAACCTCAATAGGATGGTAATAGGAGGTGGGGCCTTTGGGAGGTAATTAGGTCATGAAGTTGGAGCCCCTAAGATGGGATTAGTGCCCTTAAAGGAAGAGGAAGAGTTTGCCCTATCTCTGCCCTCTACCTTGTGAGGATATAAGAGGTCAACAGTCTGCAACCCAGAAGACGGCCCTCACTAGAGCCTAACCATGCTGGCATGCTGATCTTATATTTCCAGCCTCCAGAGCTGTGAGAAATAAATTTCTGTTGTTTATATGCCACCCAGTATATGGTACTTTTTTTTTATAGCAGTTTAGCTAAGACAATAACCATTTAGAGGCCCCTGGAAAAGGCTATAGAGAGGAGAGGAAACACGGGTATTGGAGCCCTGTCCCCACTCCTATGTGTTTATGTTGGCCTAGGTCCTTAGATTTTATTCTCTTAGAGATTTTTACAAATTAGTAAATACTATTTTTCTTTCCCATCCTGGAGTGGTTGTCTTTCTTGCACAGGGGTGAGGGGGTGAGCATATATGATCTTAACTGATCCTAGACCCCAATTAGCCTGAGACTGTTCCAGGGTAACCTGCAGTCAGTTTTCAATTCTCAGTTTTACCTCTTTCCAGAGTACAGTCAGAGCCCTAGAAAGGGTTTGACTCCATTATAATGAACTTGACTTGAAACTGTAACTAAAAACTGAAGGCGATGAAATGCAGACAGAGCAAGCGAGTGAGCCAGTGTGCGTGCAGGAGTGAGCAAACCGCATCTGCTGAATGGTGAACCCCAAGAGTTCAATTACCCCAATTCCCTCCACAGAAGGTAACCATGGAAACCTCATCTTCCAAAGCATCACCGGCATCCAAGCAAAACACACACACACACACACACACACACAAACACACACACACACACGTATGCCCGCTCAGGGCATATGTATGTACGGAGGGCTATGTGTTCACGTGCCTATGTTTCGGTTATTGTGTGTGCGGGGTGTGTTTGTGCAATGGCTTGACAGTTTGTGTGTGTGTATATCAAATGGAATTAGTATGGGCGTTCGCTGCCACATGCTTTCCGGTTCTGTTCTCAGGGGTGGGGAAAGAGCGTAGGTTTGTCCTAATGTTTGGGTGTTGCACTCAGAGATGGTTAGAGTATGTGGGAGAGGAGGTGCAATTTCAATTTTGTGGAGGGTAATGTGTTGGCATGATTTGGGCATATAGGAAGGTTTTTAACTTATTTTTTTCCCATATCAGATTTCTATTGCACAAAAGTGTACAGGAGTTGGATTTTTCACCAGCTGGGAGGTATTATTCCCCTGGGCTGGGGAAACTCAGCATGAATCCAAATTGAATTGAACTTCTCAAACACTCTAGCGTGGATGTAAATTCAGGTTTAGGAGTATCATTTTTACAAAGTGGTGTCTTTTTTTCAGGGTATGTGTTGTTCTTTTTTTCCCCTAGCTTTCTGTTTTAAACCTCATCTTTTTATCTCATGCTTGGGGCCAGCCTTTCTCCACGTGAGGGATGTGTGAATGCCACACTGGGGGAGGCTGGGTGGGGACAAGGCAGGGAAGTCTGCTAATGAAGTGTGTCACTCAGTATGTGCATGATATAAAGAAGACAATGTGTCATTAGGCAGATCTTTGAGTGTAAGGCAGCTCTGTCTGGATTAAGGGTTACTGGGGCTGTATAGAGGCCGAGGTTTCAGACAGCCGTGGCCAGGTTTCCGAGTTATGAACGGGGGCTGTGTGCTAGGCAAAACCTGGCCTTGTGCTTGAGGTCATCTCGCCTTAATGGGAGCTCTGTGCACACAGTATGGGGGCGAGTGTACATTTGTGTTTGCTAGCCCTGTCCCTCCCCATTTATGTAAGTTATGAATGGAAGATAATTTATTAGGTAGCATTGGGAAGAAACTGTCTTATGAGTTCTTGTCTTTCATTCACATTTATAGATAAGGGTTTTTAAACAGATAGGTCTTGTTTGTCTATCAAGAGATCAATACCACAAGCATATTTGCTCCTCTCTTTTTAAAGCAGCTGCTTCCTGGATGACAGAAATCCACAGCAGGGACCTGAAACACTGACCACGTGGTCCGTGCGCCTCTGGGAGCGCCATCTTGGCTCCGCCTGCGCCCCTCTCGGCCCTGCTCCCGGGAAGAAAGGGGCCAGGCGAAAAGGCTGGGAGACATTTGGTGTCAGTTGTTTGAAACTTTGATACCTTTGGAGGGGCTCCCGGTACTGGATGTGTGGAGCTGCCTTTTGCGTTTGCCCACGTGGTGCCTGAGCAAGCCCAGAGTGGGCTGAAGGGAGCTGCCCGCCCTGCAGGTCCACTTCTCCCCTCCCGGCTGCTGCTTTCAGGAGCTGGGCTGTTCACCCCACGTGTCTGAAACAGCCCCTTACTCTTGGCTCACCCCCTCTTCAAGAGTTTGGGGAGGAGGCCTTCTCCTCCATCCCACCCATTACAGCACAAGGGAGGCTCCCACCCTGGCTGCCCACCTCCCCTGAGCCCTTTCCAGGGTGTGTCTTGAGTCTTTACCAGTGATTCAGAAACCTGTATTTTCCAGTTATTTACCCTTCCATTCAACGACTGCTTCTTAACGTGCCTGCCAAATGGCAGGTACTGGGGATACAGCCATGAGCAAGGCACTATTTTTGCCCTTAGTGAGCTCACATGCCAGACGAGGTACCAACAAATGAATAGGCAATTCAGTGAGATAAAGGTATAATAGGGGTGAACACAGGGCACTGTGGGAGCCTATGGGGGGGCACCTACCCTGTCTTGGGGGGGCAGGAGGCTTCTTAGAGGAGCTGATGTCTGATCAGAACCTGAAGGGTGAGGAGAAATTAGCTGGGTCAAGGGAGGTGACAGGACACTTTCCAGCAAGGGGGAAAGGGATATTTATTAGAAACATAACTGCTTCGCAGGTGAACCCTGATGGCAAATGGTGAGACAGCGGGGTGGGGGCAGATGAAGAAACGTAGGAAGTGAATCAAGAGGCAGAGGGGAGAGACAGAGACAGCTGGACCATGGAGAGATGGCAGAGACAGAGCGAGGACCACAGAATCATGCATTTTTAGGGCTGGAAGGAATGAGAGTGAACATCCTCAAGGTGCTTATTTTACAGATAAGGAAACTGAGGCAAAGAAAGGCTAAGGAATTTGCCAGAGTCCCAAAGGTGTTTAGTGGGAATGCCGCATCAGGAACCTGGGTCTCAGGGCTTCCAGGGGGTTTGAGAGGAGCAGGGCCAGAGAGAAGGTGGGAGCGAGCAGAATGAGAGATGGAGGGAGGAGAGGGAAGGAAAGGTTGGTTGAGATTCACTGGGTTCTCACTGTCAGGATTACGGTGTGGAGTGAAAGTGGGTAAAGTTTAGGTGACAACTGAGCTGGGTTTCTTTTCCTTTCCCTCTCTACCTTTTTCTCTTTCTCTCCCTCTCTTTCCCTTTCCAACCACATCCTGCCTACAACTAGATGTCAGGGAACTGGTTGCCATGGCTACTAAATGGCATTCAAGCAGGCTGAATTATTAAACCAGGGTCTTTTCTTTGAAGTCATGGCCCCAGTACTAAGTCCCATTAGGGGGCGCAGTGTGGGACGCAGGTCTGGGCTGGGGCTGTCCAGGTGCCCCTTGGCTGGTGTGGCCCAAGACTGGGAGGAGAGGGAGTGTGTGTCTAGCCCTTTCCCCCCGCTGGGTGTGAAGACTTCGGGGTGGGAGGAGGTGCATCTGCCAGGCTGGAGAGATGGAGGGAGACCGCCCATGTGCTGAGAAGAACCCCTGCATTCTAGTCTACTTCCCACCTCCTCTGCCTAGAGCAGCAGCCACAACTCACTCAGATGGGACAAGAACCAAAACCAATGTTTTCATTATGTCTGAAAGGACACCATATTGTTCTAATTAGTTGTTACTTGTAGCCAGAGAAGCAAGAAATAAATTGGCAGGTGTGCTCGAGGGGTCGTACTCAGGCATCTGGCATTGTGCTACCTCCGTGGATAGGTAAAGGGACTCTGTCATGGAACTGTCTAAGTGGTGGGCATCGCACACTCCCAGTGATATGAATAAGTCATCAAGGAGAGTCTTGTTTGTGGGCACAATTGTTTGTTTTGATGGTGGAGGGGGTGAGTATGGATGCTCTTCTTTTAAGGAGATCCCAAGCCAGGAAAACCTTCAGCCTTCTGGTATCCTAGCTCTTTAAACTTTTTCATTAAAAAAGGAAACCCAAACACTGTAGTATAAAGTCTCCTGCTATGGGCTGAGGGGAGAATGGCCTGGTAGCTGCTAACTGCATTGTGTGTGTGTGTGTGTGTGTGTGTGTGTGTGTGTGTGTGTGTGTGTGCGCGCGCTGGGGTCATGGAGGGGGGCATGAAGAATATATTTTGGGGTAAATGGAGTCATTCTCCTTTTCCCTGGGCTCCAAGAGATCCTGAGGTTAATTTCCTAAAGTGGGGGAAATCTCTCCCTCTCCCCCCAAGTCTGCCCCCTCCCAGGGGAGGGCTGCTGCTTCCCTGGGCCCTAGGATTCCTGCCTCCCTTCATGCAGAGGCCCACATCTCCTTCGCAAGACAGGCTCCCATTGCATTCTTATGCTTGAACAGAAAACAAAAAAACCCAACCTTTTCACAGGGGAAACCAGACTTAGAAGATGGTTTCTAGAAATGTGTCAGCCTCAGAAAAACTGATGTGTAGCCCTGATCTTTTTCCTAACACCCAGCTGGAGCATTTTTTTTTTTTTTAATTTTAATGTCAGGCAAAAGGCCCAGCTTTCTGAGAGCCTGACTCACAGAGACTAGGCTAACTTCTTTACAGGCTTGGTGAGAATTTTCAGAATTTCCCTGGCCCCCAGGACAAGGTGCTGGCTCCTCAGAGGGCGAACCTTTCAACCTGCCCACTGCTGGCAGCGGAGTAGGAACTAGCTGAGGAGGCTGCCCTTGACCTTCACTTCCAGCCTCCTCCCCCAGGAGGAAAGGTAAGGGGAGCTGTTGTTAGCATGGTGGCTCTTTAGTTCCCTTCAGTGCCTGTTCCTGACCTCCACAATGTGCCAGGCCCTGGCAGATGCAAAGTCTACTAAAGTCTTCCACCATGGGAAGCTCCCAGGGGAAGGCCAACTGTCCTCATTCAATGCTGGCGGCCCTCAAAGCCTTCAGAGGACCTGCCCCATCTGTGCCAAGGTGAAGTTTAGGAACAAAAGTGGAGAGGGAGAGGACATGCCCCTTCCCTTCCTCCTGCTTCTTCCTTTCCCCTTTCTCCTGTCCCTCCCCATCCCACTGCTGCCTTCTCTCTTTTACTGGGGCCTTTCTCTGCTTCTAAACTGAACTCCTGGGAGAGGGTGGGCTGTTGCTGATAAAGCCACCTGCCAAAGACCCTGCTGGGACCTCTCAGGAAGGGTTCGTGGGATGGAAAGTCTTCCCCTGCAGGGCTCTGGGAGGCACTTCTGTCATTGCTCTGGGGGAGGGAAGCTCTAGTGGGAGTCAGGTCTATGAAGCCTTGGAGATGTCAGTTTGACTCTGTTTTTAGGGCTGTTGATTTTTTGTGCTCCTTAACCGCCCTGAGGAAACAGGGTAGCCCTCAGCTGGAAACACTCAGAGAGCCTCAGGGTCAGTCCAGAGGCAGCAGAAAGGCTCCCCACGCGGGCTGGGGCCCCCTTTTCTTGGGCAGCGTCTGGTTCAGGGGCTGGTTCCCCACTCTCCTCCTTCCCCCTACACTTGATCCTCAATTCACTTCTGCTTCTCTTGAGATGTAATCTTGTTCTTCTGATCACGGTCCCCCCTGCCCAGCGAGGCAAGCAGCCTTGACCTTGGGGAGGTCCCTGAGCAGGACCTCGGGAGGGGGTCATGTACTCCAGTGGAAATCGCCCACAGAAGTTCGAGGCCATTGAACTTTTTCCATGGCAACCCTGTGGCCTAAATTTCTCGACCCGGGCTGTTGACTACACAGATCCCTGTCCGTAAATCAAGCCTCGCGGCTGCCCCCGCCCCTGCCCGGGTGTGCGCGCTCCCGCGGGCGTTGCGTCTCGTCCGCCCACCCTGCGCCGCCCGTGCAGCCCATGCGGACAGCGCTTCCTCGCTCCGTCCGCACGCAGCTGGGGTCTCCCCCTTCCCCTTCGTCAGTCCCCAGTCTGCCCCTCTAGGGGCACGTGTGCGAGTTCTCTTTCTGATTGCCAGAAATTTCTTTTCCACTGTGTGGGCAGGAGACAGATTTTTTTCTTTTTTAACGGTCTCCCTTCTCTTTTATTTATTTTGTTTTCCGTGTCTCTTCCTCACCTCCGCCTGCTTCCTCCCCCCCTTTCTGCCGATTCCTCCTTCTTCCTCCTTCAGTTTCATCATCTCTCTCCTCCCCTCCGCGTCTCCGTTTCCTCTCCCCCACCCTTTTGCTCTTTTAAAATAATTCAATGATGTGTCAGGAATACTAGCACACCCTCCTCATTCAGCCGAGCGCGGGACTCTGCATTAATTCAAGGTAAGCCCCGGCTTCTCGCTGCCTGGGACGCGGCTGTCTGCACCGGGGCGCAGTCCCGGTGCTGCGGCTGCAGTGCTGCTACCTGTTGGGGGGTTGCCTGGACCTTGGGGCTTTCTAGTTGGCCCCAGCCTTCCCCGAGTCCCCTCCTCAACCCCTTTCTTCCTCTGCACGCGCTGCCCTTTCCCTTGTAACTTCCCTGGCAATCGTCTGGGGTCTGGGCTCGGGCAAGCCCCCGCGCCGCCGGCAGTGAGTGGCGTGGCCCTTGCAGGGGCGCCCAGGGGCGGCATCCTCCTCCCGGTCGCACGTTCTCACCCGGCAGCCAGCCAGGCTCGCGCGCTGGGGAGAGCTGAGCTCAGCTCCAAGCAGGTGCGGGCCACCGGGTTTCCGCAAGCCTCGGGGCCTCCCGCCGCCCTTCCTTGCCTCCTGGGCCGCGGCTGAGGCTGGGAGGGTCCCCGCACCGCATCGGGAAGTTTTGTAGGGGGACCGCTCGAGGGAAGCGTGCGCTGAGCAGGGGCTGAGCTTCCAGGGAAGTTTCGGTGAAGGAAGCTACCTGCGCCTTTGGAGGCGACTCGGGACTGGTGTAGGGTGGGCTGAGTGTCTCTGGAGCTCCGGGTGGGTTGAAGCGGGTGGTCCCTTCCTGGGAGGAGGCCAAGAATTGGGGCTTAGAGCCGGGAGGGGAGTGCGGAGAGGAAACCAGGCTACTTAGAGTGATTGGCTTTTGACCGGGTTGGAGTCTCTTTGCTCCAAGGTTCATCCTTTTCCAGGGATGGAACATCCAGCTCTCTGTGCCTTTTGCTTCGTGCTGGTTTCCCCGAGAGAATGTGGGAGACACTACCCAATTGGCCCCCAATCCCTGAACGTCTCCCTGAGATCCAGGCTTCCTCCTCACTCTGGGGACTGAGGTGCCAGTTTGGCCACTTGCCCAAGGGGTGTGTGTGTGGGTCCTCTCTCCAGTCGGGTGACTCTGGGTGCTCAGAGCAGCTGGTTCAGGCTGAGTGGGTGGGTGGGTGACCAAGATCTGCGGGCTTGTAATGATTCACGCTCTTCCCGTTGGAGGCCAGAAGGTTGGAACGTTGATTGTTACTCTTGGAGGCTGAGATTCGTCCTGTCATAGAGACATCATCATTAGTTCAAAGAGGAGGCTGAGCCCGGAACCCAGAGAGAAGTGCTTTCATGATATGAAAGAATATTTCTGATGTTAAAATAAGACCATTGTTTTATATCCATGGAGGTTAGAACCAGAGGAAAAGGGGCCTCCTCTTTTGGGGTTTGGGGTAGACACCAGGGAAAAACTTCCCATTTTCCATTCCAAGAGGAATTACTGACGGAAAATATAGAATATCCTCTCCTATAAATGTGTGGGTCTTATAGATGCGAGTAGTTATCACTACAGTCTAGAAGAAGGTGATCTTTTCTTGTTGATTGTATTCTACTGTTTTCTCACATGCTAAGTCTCTGGCCAGCTAAGATGCTTTTAGCACTTTGTAGTTTAATGTAATCATATCATTTATTGTCCAAGCTGGGACACTTTGAGAGTAGACAGAGATATCAGTAATAATTCCACATGGCCAGTGGAGCCTGTCCATACAGTTAGAGATGAATGATTGCCCCAGGAGAAACTATGATTAGAGGCAGGGACAATTTACAAGGCAACCTGTGTTGATTTCATGTCATTTTGAATCTTGCATCTTTCTTCCTGGAATGTTCCTTCTTGACTCAGATTTCAAATGGACTTTATTTCAGTTCTAGCTCTGAAATACAAATCTCTCTCTTTTGATGAACTCCTCTTTCTCCGTCTACACCAGTTCCTCTGAAATGCCCATTCCCAGAGCGGAATTCATGCTCTGAGTGCAGGGATTACAAACTGAGGGTGATTTAAGGAGCTGTTGCTATCACTCTGTCTGCTTGCCTGTATTTATGAGCCTGGGGCTCCCAGAGGCTGTCCTTCTGCCAGGAATTGTGAGTGTTGTGTTGATGGCAGCATGATACACAGTGACCCTCACAGTCACACGAGTGAGCGATCGGATCACTGCTGTCATAACTCCTCCACTCCTCCAGGGCTGGGATGTGTGTGTTGGGCGTGAACGAGGAGAAGGAAGCGGAAAAAAATCCTACGTGCTGTCTGGATTTTAAACTGAGAAACTCGTGTTCAAGAAGCATTCTCTTGCAGGGAAATGTCTGGTTTTTACTTCCTTGCTTGTGTGAGGGAGCGATGAGGATTCTTAGGAATGTGTCAGTCACACCTCCCTCCCTTAAGCCTGCCAGACAGCTAAGTCCCTGAAGGGCTTCCAAAAGTTTAGCTACCACTTATTGAGTGTTTATTGCTATATTTTCCGGATACTATACCAAGCAGTTTCCAGACATTATCATAATTAATCCCTACCTAATCCTATTAGGTAGATTAAATATCCCCATTTTGTAGATGAGGAAACTCAGAAAAATTAACTAATATGCTCAGGTTCACCAAGCTAGTAGGGGCAGAGCTGGGACTGCAGCTCAGGCTAGCTGACAACCTCCCCACGAGGTTGCCCCTTTGTCCCTGAGCTGATGGGGACAGCATTTGGCTCACAGATTTAGTCCCAGCTGCTCAGGGCCCTGAAGGGCGAAGGCTGGGTCCAGAGTGGGGTAGACTGGGCAGTCTGCTTGTCCATCCTGCCTGCTTCTTGACTCTCATTGCCCCTGCCTTTTCTGTCAGCGGTGTCCTTGCTTGGTGTCCATGAAGCTTGTGCCCCCATGCCCTGGCCACCTGGACGTCACCAGAGGGCTCTCTCTCCTGGCTCCCAGCCCAGTGTGCTCGTGGATCCTACCTGGGGTGGGAGGATTGCCTAATGGAAAGGCAGAGCCTGTGCCACTATCGATTTTCAGGCTTCATCTACACCTTAGTAATTGACATCTGCTGCTTTCAGTATCAGAGTTAGATGAGTCCAGTTATCTCAGAGACTGACCGTGGTCTAGACTGGGAAAGGGCTTCTCCACCCCTTGGCTTCCCCTGACATAATTCAGTAGACTAGCAGGGAAACCTGACCAGCCCCAGCTGTCAGTGTCTTGGTTGGGTCCCTCAGATCCTTTTTCCATCATGAGGGCAAAAATAAAGGCTTAGGCATGTAATTCTAGACAATGTTTCCAACTACTCATACTTCCTATTTACTCTGTAGCACAATGATTTACCAGACCAAGAGCAGCATGGCTGGGTGATTGGGTCTAGGTGGGTGGTCAAAGAGCATTGGCTTGGGAGACTTCATGTCTGCGCTGACTCGGCCGCACTAAGTAGCCATGTGACCTTGGGCAAGTTACTAACCTACTTGGGCCTCCTTAAACCTGTCTGAAAATGAAGGTTGGGCAGATGTTCTCCAGGGATCTCCCAGCTTCAGGAATGTAAGATCCCACCACTCAGGGTGGCTTTGTGCTCTGTGCTCTGCTGATCCGAGGCATAGCCACTCCATTTCTCTTCTCCCCTCTAGGTGGGGAGTAGGCGGGCCAGATGGGGACAGGAGTTAGACAGAGGGGTGGTAGAAGCGGCGTCCTGGCAGGAGTGGTGACTGCCCTGGGTCTCCTGCGGGCAGGCCTGAGCCCAATTCTCCTCTGGAAAAATGGAGGGTGGTTTATTTGGCCAAGGGAGAGCCTTCCTTCCTGCTGTGTTACCTTGCATCCCAATACGTGAGGAAGAATTGGGAAAAGAAGGTAATACAAAACTATGCAAGCAATTATCTGTAGTACACCCTGAATGATGAGTGGAGCCCTGGAGCAGGGGTTGGGAGTGGGAGATAGGACAGTGGGAGAAGGTGGTCGACAAACAAATAAAAGGAGAGACATGGCCTTTGTCCTCATGGTGATGACAGTGTGGTGGGGAGCCTGGGTCTAGGCCATGGACCAAATATACATCTTACAAGCCATAAAGCCATTTGGAACCAAAAAGCCCATTACAAAACCGTTTGTACAGAGTTGGTTATGTGCAAATCAAGTACCTTCCTGGCAGGAGCAAAGATGGGTGGTACCTTTCTCACTGTAACCTGCAAAACTGAAGCTGTGGCTGTAATCCTCATCCCTGACATGGGGCTTCTAGAGGATTCTGTTGTATGCAGGACATGCCTGGATTTGGGGGAATTGCTGTGAATGATGTTCTAGAATAGAATGGGGCTTTACCAAGGAAACACCTTCCCATTTATGTTTATATAGTATTACCTTGGAAGATTCGGTCTCTGGAATCATAAGGGCTTTGTAACTACATCGACCATACTTGAAAAAAGATTTCCTCCATAAACACTAGTCTGGGATTGGGGTGAAGAGTGAGTGCTCCAGATTCTCCATAGAGTGAGTGGTGGCAGTGGCGGCTGAAGGGGGTTGAGGTAGGGCACAGCAGCTGGGGGGCACAAGGAGTTTCGAAATGTGATGCTGTCCTGACTACCGCAGGGGACTGCATCCATCCTTGTGGGTTTTTATGTCATTTTTAACGTGGGTAACAAAGTCTAGGGCTACACGGATAGACACACTTGATGGTAGACATATGGTAGTTGCAAAAATGCAACTTGATATCAAAGTAGCTCTCTGTGCTTCACTGTCTTGCAGAGGGTGTCTGTGTGTATGCCTCTCTGCTGTGTCTCTTTGGGTTTCCTCTCCTTTTTCATGAACCAAATATGTGCATGAGCTTTCGCCAGGAGGAGTGGGAAAATAAAGCTGAAAATGAGATGGAACTTGCTCTCCAGTGATTGTACTTTACGAAAGTATTTCTTTTACCAAATTATGTATTCTCTGATGATGGCATCGTGGGTCTGGTCTTGCACCAGTCCCTACTGGCTATATGACCACGAGAAAATCACTTTGCCCTTCTGGGCCTCAGCTGCGTTGTCAAGACACAGGCACGGAGCCCTGTTTTGCAGAGATAGGGCCTGGAGCTGAGGGTCGCTTGAGGCCCCTTCCCATTGTAAGATCAATGATGGTTCTGTGGTTCTGTTTCCCTTCCCTTCTCTCTCTTCCTCTGTTCTTTGTCTCCACCCTTGACTAGTCATACAATAGAATTTTTTTTTGTTTGCTATATTTACCGAATAGGAATTTTATTCTTTGTTCTTATTTAAAAAATGATGAGGAACATTTTTCATTTCTGCAACTTAAAAGAAAGTAAGTGGAGTTCTTCTTGACTTATTTGGTCCTTGATTGATGTTTTCTTGAAGGTAATGATCCTAAATACAGAAAAAGTTCCACCATTTCCTCAGTGCAGGGATTCATTATGACAGGTGAACACATATCCGACTTCCACCTGTTGGATCTCAGGCTCTGGGTTAATGAGCTGTTCAGCTCTGGATTCTGAGAGTCCCGGAGGCATCAACATAGCTGGTCAAGGACAGGCAGCCTTCCCACCTCAGAACCTCAGAGTGCTCACTCTGAGTGGCCCCCAAGGTGGCTGGAAAGGAAGGAGCCTGGGCTTGGGGGACAAAGCCCCAGATGTAAGCCTCAGATGTGTCACTTAGTGGAAAAGTCACTTAGCCTCTCCCTGCTTCCCCCTCCCTCCGATCCACCCACCCGCTTCCCACCTTCCTTCTTTCGGCAGAAGTATCCTGACTGCCTGCTCTGGGCCGGGCAGTGATCTGGGCACTGGGAATACAGCAGTGAACAAGACAGCCAAATATCCTGCTTTTATGAAACTGACATTGCATTGCAGGGATAGAGAAAAAAGTAAATTGATAAGTAAGTTTGTAAAAAAAAAATCAAACCATGATAAATGTCATTCAGAGAATTATTTTATTTATTTATTTGAGACAGAGTCTCCCTCTGTTGCCTGGGCCAGAGTGCCGTGGTGTCAGCCTAGCTCACAGCAACCTCAAACTCCTGGGCTCAAGCGACCCTCCTGCCTCAGCCTCCCGAGTAGCTGGGTCTACAGGTGTGTGCCGTGACGCTTGGCTAATTTTTCTATTTTTAGTAGAGACAGGGGTCTCACTCTTGCTCAGGCTGATCTCGAACTACTGACCTCAAACAGTCCTCTCTGTTTGCTCTCCCAGAGTGCTAAGATTACAGGCATGAGCCACCGCGCCTGGCCTCATTCAGAGAATTGATAGGAGGTGACACGGCCATGACTGGGTAGCTCATTAGACTGGTGCATCAGAGAGGGCTTCTGGGGAGGTGAGACTTAAGCTGAAGATCAGAGTGGTGAGACATGAAACAGGATCCATATCACTAATTCTCTATGGTTAGTATGAGGAGTAAGTTGTGCATAAAAGTGTTTTGTAGACTATTAAATAAATGCAACACATTTCATATCGCATTAGGCAAAATTCCTTGAGGGTAAGCGTTGTGATTAATGTTTGCAGTCTCAGTACCTAGCATAGTAGTGAACATGAGTTGAATTAAATTATAAATGCGAATTGGGAGTTCAGAGGAGAGTTTTAAGAAATAAAATAAGATGATACCTGTGACAAGTCTTTGTCAAAAGAAGATACTATTCCTTCTATTCTGGCCACCGCTGGGTTTTCCTGGATATTTCCATCCCTGATGCCCTGGAAGTGCTGTGAGGTCCCTGGGCATCGCCAGGGCACAGGTGGATGGAGAGGGACGGGTGATGCTGAAAGAGTGAGTTCTTGCTTTTCAGAGTCTTCTTAAAGGAGAGCAGAGGTTAGCTTACCTGGAATTGGGAGGAGTGCCGCTGCACCTTTCCTCTCTCCTGCCCAGGGCCAGGCTCATGGTAAGGAGGGGACCTCAGTCCATTGCCTTGACTGTTGGCTGTGACTCTGCAGACCTGCTCCCTTCCCCGTGCCACCCTCCCTGAGGGTGAGTCAGTGCAGCCCCCCTACTGCAGCCAGGGCCCTGAGTCACAGCTTTTCAAACACAGATGTGTGAATCACTCAACTTCTAGCCCTGGAGGTGTCTTGGGTGACAGCTGAGGGAGAAGGCTGTGCCCCTGCCCCTGCCTCTGTCATTGCTGGATCATGCTTCCTGTACTTGCTGCCTAGCGCTCGGATCCCATGGCCCTTCCCCAGGGCCGCAGACAAGTTTTGGGGTATAAGGGGTGAGTGATCACTCACACTAGAGGAGTCCTTGAGAAGAACACCCTGTCCCCAGGTGTGGTGGTATGCTTCCTGGGCCAGCAGCACCAAGACCTCCAAGAACTTCTTAGGTATCACGTTCCCTGCCCCATCCCAGACGTCCTGAATCAAACACTCTGGGTGTGGGGCCACAGCCTCCAGGTGGGTCTGATGCACGCTGAGAACCACTGTTAGAAGGCCAGCTGAAGGGAGCACCCCCCGTACACCAGAAACTTGGAATGTTTGTGTCCTCCCAAACATATGTTGAAACCTAATGACCAATGTGATGGGGCCTTTGGGAGATGATTAGGCCATGAGGGCGGGGCCCTCATGAATGGTATTAGTGCTTTTATAAAAAGGACCCCTGAGAGCTGCCTTGCCCCTTCCACCATATGAGGACACAGGAAAAAGACACCAACTATGATCCAGGAAGCAGGCCCTCACCACCAACAAATCTCTCAGCACCTTACTATTGGACTTCCCAGCCCCCAGAACTGTGAAAATTAGATTTCTGTTGTTTATAAGCCACCCAGTCTGTGGTATTGTGTTATAGCAGCTCAAACAGACTAAGACACTGTTGCTAAGACACTAACCACTGTTAGAAGGCCAGCTGAAGGGAGCACCCCCCGTGCGCCAGAAACTTGGAATATCGGACACCTTTTTGGGGATAGGAATTTTTATTCTTGTTTTGCAGATGAGCAAAAAGGCCTCCAGAATTCAAGATCATAGTAGGCAGCAGAGCCCGAGTTTGACTCAATTATTGGCTTCAAAGTCAGCATTATTATGGGGTTTGGACCCCTAATTAAAATGTAAATATTTGTGGAGGCATCTATTATCAATAACATCATTGTGCTAATTCCTTTCTTGGCCATTGACAATAGATGGCTGAGAGGAGAGCTGCAGCAGCACCTGGATACCTCGGTGGTATCTTGTGGGTGCTTTTTGTGTGCTTGGCAGTTTCTCCTCTGCTTGGCTGTGGCGGGGATCCTCCTCCAGATGGGAGCTGTGTGATGATCTTGCGTGCAAGTGCACCCCAGCCCCACCCTGGCTTTCTGACTTCTTATGATCTCCACATCTCTCTCTGCTCCAGCCGTCACCCATATGCGGATGACTTCCAAATTTGCTTTCCTACCTAAGATTCCCTTTTGAGTTTCAGAATTTCTCTACACTTGAATGCTGGATGTTTATACTTCAATACCTCATAGTATCTCATGCTCACCTTGCCTGGAACTGAACCTTATTATTATTTACCAAATCTTGCCCTCCTCTCAGCAAATGGTACCACCCTCTATCCCAGGCTAGAAATCTGTGAGTCATGTGTGCCTCGTCTTCCTCCCATTTGCCCTGCTGTTCATCTCCTTCGGTTCAGTCTGATGGCCCTCAGCCCTCCCCAGGGTGCCTGCCTCACAGCTGCTCATCCTGCTAAGCTCTCATCTTGGGTCCCTCTTCCGGGAAGACTCCTCAATTTCCTCCAGGCAGTGCGAGGTCCTTTTCCTTTGTACTCCCTTAGCGTGTGTGCTTCCTTCTCCCACCACAGCCGACCGTGAGATCCGTGATAGTGAGGACTGTGTCTGTTATCTATGTCTCTTCAATGTTTTGCCCTTTCTGAGTGGCTGAGAAGCTTACTGAATGTGTAAGCAGGTAAAGAGGGCACTCTGGAACCTTCAGCAAGTGCCAGTTCTCTTTCCCTCTCTCACGGAACCATCTCCCCTGTGACTGGAGCATCGCACTCACCACCTGTGACTTTGAAATGACAGCAAGGACTCATCAGCTCCTCTCAGAGAAAGTGGGGAGTTGACTGAGGCTGAAATACTTTGAAGAGAGAGAAAGAGAGAGCGAGAGAGAATGTGTGTGTGTGTAGAAAGTATTGCCATGAAGCCAAAGTGGAAGAATCCAGGCAGATTTCATATTCATGCCAACTTTATATCCAACAATGTTTAATTTCTAGAAAATTGAAGAAGCATTTTTCTCTGATCACCCCCATTTTTTTCTTTAAAGATTGTGTTTCAGTAAAGATTGTGTTTTAGTTATCACTGTCTGCCCATAGCTCATTGGTATATTGTCTGGAACACAGTTAAGTGCTAAGTAAATTTTCAGAGAGGGCTCTGGCTAATGGCAAGAGCCCCCAGAAAGGTTTTCTGTTGGGAGAGTGAGGGTGAGACCTGAAAATCCATGCTGAGATCCACTCATTCTCGTGGCTTTCAATACCAGCTTTATGTCCCACACTCCTGTATCAGTTAGCTTTTACTGCATAATAAATCATCCCCAAACTCAGAAGCCTATAACAACATTTAGTATTTCTCACAACTCCGTGGGTTGATT